TGGAAAGTGGAGATGACCAGGGCTGTGGACACGATCGCTCCTAAGCATCCTCTCCCACCGGGCAGAGCCCACTCTTCCCCTTGGTATACACCTGAATTGCGGGCGATGAAGCAGGTTGGGAGACGGCTAGAGCGTAGGTGGAGAAGATCACGGGATGAATCTGACCGAACACACTTGAGAGCCCATTATCGGGCCTATACTGTGGTGGTGAGGGCGGCGAAAAAGAGTTTCTTTTCCGTTTCCATTGCCTCCTCAAAATGCCGTCCGGCGGAGCTTTTTCGAGTGGTGCAAGGCCTGGTTCGTCCAGGTCCTAAGAAAGATCTGGTTCCACCCTCAAAGGCCCGCTGTGACGACTTTGCCATGCATTTCAGGGAGAAAATCGCTCAGATTCATCATGAGCTAGACTCCACTAGTGAATCAGAGGTTTCTGGGGAGACACCAATGCTGCCGTCTGGTCCAAAATTAATGGATGAATTTCAGTTATTGCGGCCTGATGATGTGGACAAGGTGCTTGGACGAGTATGTCCCACCACTTGCCTATTGGACCCTTGCCCGTCTTGGTTAATAAATAATTCCAAGCACGGGATTGGGATCTGGATCTTGGAAGTGGTTAACTCTTCTCTGAGGGAGGGTTGGGTGCCTGCCCCTTTAAAGGAGGCGGTAGTCTGACCGGTCCTGAAGAAAGCGTCACTGGATCCAGAGATGGCCACTAATTATAGACCAGTGGCCAACATCCCGTTTCTGGGCAAGGTGTTAGAGCGGGTGGTGGCGGGACAACTCCAAGTTCTCTTGGATGAAACTGATTATCTGGACCCATTTCAGTCCGGCTTCAGACCCGGGTATGGTACTGAATCTGCCTTGGTCGCCCTGTACAATGACCTGTGCAGGGAGAAGGACAGGGGGAATGTGTCCCTGTTGGTTCTCCTGGACCTCTCAGTGGCTTTTGATACCATCGACCATGGTATCCTTCTGGATAGGCTAGCAGGATTGGGGGTCGGAGGCACTGCTTTGCAGTGGTTCCGCTCCTATCTCAATGGCCGATTCCAGAAGGTGGTGCTGGGAGACTATGGCTCTGCACCATGGCAGTTATGCCATGGAGTTCCGCAGGGATCCATTTTGTCCCCTTTGCTGTTTAACATCTACATGAAACCGCTGGGAGAGGTCATCAGGAGGTGTTCTCTACCAATCCAAGTGAGGCAGTGGCTGTACTGAACCGGTGCCTGGCCGAGGTAATGGGCTGGATGAGGGCCAATAAACTGAAGCTCAATCCAGACAAAATGGAGGTCCTGTTGATTGGCGGATTGGGCTTCGGAGAGGGTGAATTGAACTTAGTCTTGAATGGGGTTGCACTCCCTCTTAGGGACAAGGTCCTCAGCCTGGGGGTGCTCCTCGACCCAGAGCTTTCATTGGAAGCTCAGGTGACAGCAGTGGCGAGGAGCGCTTTCCTTCAGCTTCGGCTGATCCATCAGCTGCGCCCCTACCTGGAGTACGACTGCCTGGCGATAGTGACACACACACTGGTGACTTCCCGCCTTGACTTCTGCAACGCGCTCTACATGGGGCTACCCTTGAAGACGGTCCGGATACTTCAATTGGTTCAAAATAGAGCTGCCAGGCTGCTGACGGGGACTGGGCGTTATGTTCACATGACTCCAGTCCTCCGTCAGCTTCACTGGCTCCCCATTGAAGCCCGGGCCCAATTCAAGGTGTTGGTGATGACCTATAAAGCCCTAAACAGCTTGGGTCCTGGTTACCTGAAGGAGCGCTTACGTCCATACATGTCCGCCCGCCCGCCCCTTGAGATCTGTGGGAGAGGCCCTTCTCTGGGAACCCTCCGTGAAGGAAATTAGGAAGGTAGGTACTCGGAGGAGGGCTTTCTCTGCAGTGGTGTCCCATCTATGGAATGCGCTCCCCAGAGAGGTCCGCCTGACACTGTCGTTATTTGTTTTTCGCCACCAGGCGAAGACCTTTTTATTTAAACATCATTTTAATTGTTAATATTATTTGCTTATTTTATCTGGCCAGGGCGACTTATTTTATATTGTTAATTTGTTTTATATT